TGCTGCATCCACTGAGATCACGTCGTAGAGAAGAAATTGATTATCTGGCAGATTAGCTTCTGGTTTTACTGTGATCTTAATTTTCTGGTTTCCTGCCAATTTGTGTTGTCTGGTTATGGGAAGTCTAAGAGCTGAGGGAGGCAAAGAGGAGAAACAGTGTGAACGAAGCAACTCACTGCACTGGTTGGTTGTCCTCATGAGCTGTGGGAGTTACTCACTGCACTGGTTGGTTGTCCTCATAAGCTGAGGGAGTGTTTGCATTATTTTGGGGTTTGGTTTTGCTTTGCTGCTACTTTTGGACTTTCTAACTTTGTTAAAATCTAGATGAAAGGTGCTGAATATCTATGTGCATTGACTGAATGTGAATCAAACCTTTTATCCACATAATAAGCTTTTAATCCAGAGTGAGCACATCAAGTGTCCTTCTGGTGACCTCTGAGATGCTCTTGCCCCACAGTGACTTTTTCAGGGCTTATGACATTCCTGAAATCTTGTTGGGAGACTTCTGTTCTCACAGTCAGTATTAGCACCTAAATAATTTAGCTTCTTAAACAGGAAAATCTGAAATTTTCAGTTGTTACATTATGTTCTAAAGTGTTTCTTTGTCTTCTGAATTTTTCCTTGGAATCAACAAGAATTTGTGAGCTCTCAGCCACTCCAGGAAGGGAAAAAAAGTAAACAAGGACAAGGGTGGAGCCTTCTGAAGGTTGAAATATTTCTCCTCAGTGCTGTGACCCAGCTCCAAGCATTTTTTTTGCAAAGCTCATTTTGCTATAAATGGGTTGAGTATTGCTGGGAAAACAACTCACAGCAACAGCCTTCACAAGCAACTGGTCTGTGCAGCTGAAAGAGGTCCCTGTAATCGTCTCCTTCTGGAAATGTCGGAGTTCAGGGCAGATGTTCTGAAGGAGAAAGCCAAGGAAAAGGTATTCCTTGCCCTACAGTGGGAATAAACTGCTGCTGGTGGAGCTGTGCTCTGCAGACACTCCCCAGCCCAGGGGCACCACTGAGAAGATGATCCTTAAGGATATTATATCCTTATTTTAAAAAAAACAAAACCCTTCTGTCACTCCCCAGTTTTCTCCCACTTTTCCAAAGCAGGGAATTGTTTCCATTTCATTGCTGTGCTCTTCTGAAGCCTTTGGGTCATGATAAACTGAGATCACAATTCCCTTATGTTCAGAAGGAATATCAGCTCCCCAACCTGCCTCAGTTTTGATACCTGCCTAGTACTTTATCACTGTGATTTTTCAGCTTGTGTTTTTTTTTCATTTTCAGATCTTTTATGACCTTGTCAGACAGATAAATAGAAAAACACCAGTGGAAAAGAAGAAGCCTAAAAAGAAATCATGTCTGCTGCTTTAGACTCTCATCATGCAGCAGCTCTGAGCCAGGTAAGAGGTGTCTGAATTCTGCCTGTGGTGATCACCCCATGAGCTGCTCCTAACAGAGCTGACTCACTTCCCTTCCCTCCACTCCTCTTCCTTCTGTCCTGGACATGAAGTTCTACAGTGAGTTGTGCTGTCTGACCTGGCAGAGCAAAACCTGCTCCTCTCCCTTTCTCCTTTCTCATGGGTTGGTGAGTGTGACAGAGCAGGAACTTCTTTTGACTCCTGCAGGTTCTCCCTTGTGGCACTGAGCTCTGAGCCACCATGGCTGAGTTTTGCTTCCTTTTAATCCTCTGGTGACATTTGTTAGCTCTGTGTAACTTATGTTGTTGCTGCTGTCTCAGTCTGGGTGTGCTTGGCACAGTTCAGGTCGGTTTGGGTGGGACATGGGGTTCAGTGGCACAGAAATGAGAAACTGTCCACAAAAAAAAAAGCCAAACAAACAAAATACCCGAAGCAAAAAACCCACCCCAAGGTTGGACAGAGCTATAAATAACCTTCCTGTGTATCTTGGCAGGGAACTCTGTGTGCTTACAGCTGTTCTGTGGCTCTCCTGAAAGGAAACAGTAATTCTCTAGCTCCAGGTTTGGATAGAAATATCCCATTTGGAGGCAGAGGAGGCACTGAGTGATGGCACATCTCTGCCACCTGCCTTCAGCATCATAGCTGCACAGGCTCTCACCTTCTGAGGGTTTCTGTAACCCACCACAAGCTCTGTGGTCTGTCCTTAAGTTAATCAAGAGGCACAATGAGCAGGCAAAGCAGCTCAGCTGCTCTTGTCCTGCAGTGTTTGAAGACAAACCCCTGGTCTTAGAAGGATTTCAGGGATGAATTCCTGGGGACAGGTGACTCTGCTTTCTACCAGCTCTGAAGTCCATGCTGTGGATGACCATTTAGGTGTGATTGAGTAGGGTAAGTGAAGCTGTTGAGTAGCAGGAGTGGAGCTGTGCAGTTAACCTGCTGATGGGCTTCATTGATTGATGAGGCTCTTACAAGCTTTGGATGCCAGAAAATAACAGCTCAGGGTTGTGGGGAAACAATGGCTTTAGGAAAAGAAATTGAAGAGGCTTAAGTGGCTTTTCCTATTGCTCAGGTGATCTGTCTGAATTTAGCTGGTGTGTGGCAGCTTCCCCAGCCCAGGGAGGAGTCACTGCTCCCTGCAGGCTCAGCATGGATCTGCCCTCTCCTTCCTTCCATGGCATCATGGGATGGTTTGAGTTGGAAAGGACCTTAAAGGTCTTGTTCTACCTCCTACCATGGGCAGGGACACCTCTCACCAGCCCAGATTGCTCCAAGCCCCATCCAACCTGGCCTGGAACACTCCCAGGGATGGAGCAGCCACAGCTGCTCTGTCCAACCTGTGCCAGTGTCTCAGCACTCTCCCAAGGAAGAATTCCTTCCCAATATCTAATCTAAACTTTCTCTCTTCAGTTTGAAGCCATTCCCTCTTGTCCTGTCACTATCTGCCCATAAGAAAAGTTGCTCCCCTCCTTTTTACAACCCCCTTTAGGCACTGGAAGGAGCTCTAAGGTCTCCCTGGAGCCTTCTCTTCTCCAGGCTGACCCACTCCAGCTCTCTCAGCCTGTCAGGTACTGATGCCACTTCTCATACAGTGCTGACTCCTACCAGTGCCCCCAGATCTGCTCTGGATGGATCTGAATTCCACAGTGTCTCCTTTGCTCTTCCTAAATCTCTTCCCAGTTCTCTGCCTGTTGGTTACAGCTGGAGTTGGGCTCAGGAGGTTTCCCAACTCACTAGACTTTTAAGAGCATCTCAGAAGTAGCAGAGATGAAATGCCTCTGCCCTAAATTGGTGAATTTCGGCCCCTTTTCAGGCTGCCTGTCCCGTGGGTGGGTGAGCTGAGGCACTGTTGGTATCACAGCAGTACCAGACAGGGTGGCAGTTGTCTGTCTCCGCTTTGTGGCTGCGATAACACAAGAACATCTTTCTAGAATTACAGTTTCCAAAGTCTCTTTCCTTCCTGTACCAGAAACAAACCCCAATTCTGGGAAGAAAAAAAAAAAAAGCTCTTCTGCTGAAACACTGTGTGTGGGCACAGGCCTTTGGTTGGGGAACCTTTCAAGACTTTGAGATCATCAGTAATGTAAGAAAAATCCCTCCAGCATTTTTCATGTTTGCAGTGTGCTCAGGTGGCCAAGAAGGCCAATGGCATCCTGGGCTGGAGCAGGGACAGTGTGGTCAGCAGGACCAGGGAGGTGATTCTGCCCCTGCACTTGGTGCTGGTGAAATCACACCTTGAATCCTGTGCTCAGCTCTGGGCCCCTCAGCTCAGGAGGGACATTGAGGGGCTGGAGCAGGTCCAGAGAAGAGCAACGAGGCTGGTGAAGGGACTGGAGCACAAGTGCCATGAGGAGAGGCTGAGGGAGCTGGGGGTGTTCAGCCTGGAGAAGAGGAGGCTCAGGGGAGACCTTCTCACCCTCTGCAACTCCCTGACAGGAGGTTGGAGTCAGGTGGGGGTTGGTCTCTTCTCCCAGGCAACCAGCAGCAGGACAAGAGGGCACAGACTCAAGCTCTGCCAGGGGAGGGTTAGGTTGGAGATTAGGAAGAGATTTTTTCTGGAGAGAGTGCTCAGGCATTGGAATGTGCTGCCCAGGGAGGGGGTGGATTCCCCATCCCTGGAGGTTTTCAAGCTGAGACTGGATGTGGCACTTCGTGCCATGGGCTAGTGACCACAGTAGGGTTGGACTGGATGATCTTGGAGGTCTTTTCCAACCAGGTTGATTCTCTGATTCTCTGATTCTTCCTTTCTCTAGATTGCAGGAATGAAGAACTGTTGCCTAAATGGAAAGTGCCAGCATTCCCAACTTCAGAACCTTATGGAAATGAATAACATATCGGAAGAAGCTTCTCCTGTTTTTTTGGGTTTTTTGTTGGTTTTTTTTTTTATATACTACGAGAAGAATTTAGATCTTACAACTGGTTTGCACACAGTCCCTGGAAAAAGCAATTGCTCTGTGTATATCTCTTGGAAATTTAAGCCAATAGTCCTTCTCCTTTGCAATAGCAGTTAACAATGTGAAATTAAATAAAATTGACTCTAGTGTATGATCACACCAAGGAGCATGGATGCATTTCCAATGTTAGATTGCTACTATAATTACAACTTCATATTGACCATTTTATCCTCATTTCTCCCCATCAAGCACTAAAAATGTTCCACTGTTATATTTGTAACTATAGATATATATTACCTGAAATTGCCCTTTGAACTCACTGCAGCAAATAACTATTTTTTTTTTGAGTCATTGACTTAATTTTCTATTTAAAAGTTATGGAATATCATTCTTTTCATTCTGCCATTATATTCTAATGAAAAATGTGCATAATGCTTTGGAAAAAAAATATGTCTTTTATAGGAAAAAAACAAACAAACCTGGGATAACTGATTTCTATGGCTTTAAAAGCAAAAATATATAATATACTAAACCAACTCTAATATTGCTTCTTGTGTTTTACTGTCACAGATTAAATTACAGCTTTTATGAATGATTAAATTTTAGTACATTTTCATTTTTGTTTCTGTGTTTTTGTTCTGGTTTCCAGACTTTGGGTTTTGTCCATGTTATGTGAGTTCCTCTCCCATCCTGGTGTAGCTCCAGGTCCCACCAGGTCCTTCCATCTCCACGAACCTCCACCTTGGATGTGTTCAATGTTCCACACACAGAGCCCAAGAGGCAACTTTGAACTACTCTTGTGTTTTCTTTTGGCTGTTTAAAGATTGATTTTGCTGAAGGTATTTCCTCTGTACAATTGTTTCGATGTGTACGAATTTGGTTTCACTCTGTACCAAGGTCTAACCTTGACAATGATCTTTGGTCTCACCTGTTGTGTCCTTCAGGGACAGAGTTTGCTTCATGGTCCCTGAGAGCTGAAGAAGCTTTTTCTTCCATTTTGAGGTTGTTTCCTTTATTATTTTTTTTTGGTGGTTTCCTAATCAAAGAGCAGGATATGAAGAGACCCATGGGTGCTCCATCCTCCTGTCTGTGTGCAAGTCAAAGAACCACCAGTGGGACCCAAATCCCATCCTGGGGGGTGATGCTGCTGGAATCCCCACAGTGCTGGAGGACTTGCTCCTGCTTCGCTTCTGAGTAAGTGAGAAGAGAAATGTAACTTCACAGTGGAGAAAACTCAGGACAGACCTTGTCCTGGTGGTTTAAATGGGAAATCAAAACGTGACAGTTGTTCCTGGACCCAATGTAAAGTTCTCTTGGAAACCAGGGGGAGAGATTTCTATCCATAGGTTTTTCTAAAACTGTGTTCCTGATGCAGCTGTTGAATTATACAGAGCTCCCAGTTTCTAATCACAGCCCAGACAAGACTGGATGAAAACATCTGGATAATGTGAAAACATCTGCCTACTTACAAGCTACTAGGACAAACGTAGTTACTTTAGTTGTCTTCAGCCTAGCCCTGTGCCTCCTTTTTTCAGGAGGAGCAGGAGCATGGTTTTGCAGGTTGGTTATCTTTACTAAATGTAAAAATATTTTAGTAATAAAGTAATTTTAATGAACATGCTGATTGCTAGATGTCTCTTCTGTAAAACTAGAAACTTAGCCTGGATTGTTGTCCGTGCAGGGCAGGATGGAAGGTCATCAACCCTCATTTTGTTAATGGGAGACCATTTCAGAGATGTAAAACCTGATTTTATTAATGCATAACTTCATTTCCTAAATGTTAAAGCTCATTTCACAAAATTTCCAGTGTTTTCTGTGGAAGATCCATCTGTTCTCTGCTGCTGGCAGAGCTGAGGGTGTGCAGTGATGAGGTGCTCAACCTTCCAGCACTTTTCCATGTCACTTCTCAACTTTGTGTCTCCCAGTTTGGCTCTTCCCATGGGGAAACTGGTCAGGCTGGTGAAGGCAGGTCCAAGTCTCTCCAGTGGCCTCTTTTCCTCTCACAGGATCTGCCTGGAGGACATTGGGACATCTCCCAGCACTGAGCCCCACTGTGCCCACTGCTCCAGGGAGGTGTGACTGCTCCATCCCCTGCAAAACCTGAGAGCAGCAGAGGTTTGCAG